ACCGGGATGGTGAAGGAGGTAAGACCTGAGTCATGAGGGACCCCAGTGTTAGCAGGGAGCTGCGGTGGGTCATGAGCCATGGGATGCAAAGTGAAGAAGACCCCTGAAACTCTCCCCTCTCCCCTGCCCCTTGAGCAGAGGGTAGAGAAGACATCCCTCGCCCACGGAGGGCATTTTCTCCGGGAATGGTGCAGAGAACATGCCCCCATGTGCCCACCAGCCACCTGACACTGTGCCCCCTCCCACCTTGCGCAGACAGATCGTCCCTGTCAGGAGCGGGCAGCAGCCTGCTCCATCACTCTAATTGCAGTGTGGTTTGTGTTCATCAGGAAACAGCAGGGATTCCAAATTAAATTCCAAAATGCAATTTATTCAAGATATCAGGCCTATTGAGAGACTACCTGCAGGACCCCCTCCCTTCCCTTTTGGAGGCAGTGTTGCCATGCCACACGCTTGTCTCCTGGAAGCAAGGCTCTCTGGAATGGGGAGGCTCCCTGGGCTGCTGGCCAGCTGCCTTTCCATTTTACAGAAGGGGTTGCTGAGGCATAGGGAAGGCTCTTCCACGCGAGAATAGTCCTGGGGACGGTGAGGCTACGACTGGCAAGGGCTTGTCTGTCTTTGGGAATTATGCATGACAGGGTATCTCCCTGGCACACCTCCAGATGACAAACGAGCCAATTCTGAGCAGAAGTAAGGGCCGTGGGAACCCCATTTTGAAAATCAGAATCATTCTGTCAGCGTTCGTTTGCCTGAAAGTGGCTTCTGAGCAAGAGTCCAGGCACAAATTTACTCTCTCAGGCTCCAAACCAGTGGGCCCTTTCTGCCAGACCCCTTCCTGCCAGGCCCATCTGCCAGGGGCTGCCAGGCTGCTTCCTGCCACCTGTTTCCCCCAACCCTGAAATGTCTGTCTCACACAGACGTCAGAATTAAGATGGCAACGTCCACTGAAAACCACGGAGGTGAGGAAGCGACTGAACCAGGAAGGCGGCACAGTGGGGGACTGTTAGTCCTCCCGAGAGGCCACCCTCTGGCTCCTTCCTTCTCAGCTCTCCCTGACAAGCAGCGAGTGGGTGCCCAGCCCGAGAGCTCCTCTCGGAAGGAGCGTGTTCTCTGGCCAGCAACCGTCTATGGTTGTTTACTGTCAGAGACTCATCTGTCCCCAGTAAGCTTTGGACTCCGATGGGAGGTGGAGCAAAACGCCAAAACCGCCTCTGGGGCCCAGGGCTCCCTAAAGTGGGAGATGTGGCCCAGGGACGCCTAAGTGACATGAGCTGAAGCCCTGGGAATGCTTGCCCTAGAGGGAAGAATTTCTACAAAGCCAACCCTGCCTGGCAAAATTGGTTTTCCCCCAGGGCCCTGGATTCGGCTCCAAAACTGGCACAGATTTTCTACCACTTAGCAGAATACAGCACCGTGGCTTCGGGGAACCGATTGATTTTGAGAGCAGCAAGGCAGGAAGTAACCCCTAGGGAAGAAACATTCAGTTCTGAGCAAGAGCCTGGAGGCAGAAAGTGGACATTTCAATCCAGGCCTGATGCCACCATTTGAAGGTGGAAGGCAGAGACTGTCATGCACCTGTTTCCTCAGAGGCAACAGGCAACGGAAAGGAAAAGGAGCAATGTCACAAAATGATGCAAAGTTTCAAACTTAGAGGCTGCAGCATGCCCTTTGAGCGCAACTCTGAAATTGAGGACTTACTAGGTTTAGGTCTTAGAACGAGCTCTTTACCTCTCTGGGCCTCAGTTTCCCAGTCTGGAAAGTGGGTGGAATAATAATATCCACCTCTGAGACTTCATTTAGAGCAAGGGCCAGATAGCAAACAGCTTGGGCTTTTTGGGTCAGATGAACTCTGTTGCAATGACTCAACTCCGCCATTGTGGAATGAAAGCAGCCACAGAAACAGTAAATAAATGGGCATGGCTGTGTTCCAATAAAACTTTATTCACAAAACAGGTGGTGGGCCAGATTTGGCCTGTGAGCCACAGTTTGCCAACTCCTGATTCAGAGGATGATATGAGACAATGCAGATGATAGCAAAAGTGCTTGGCACAAAATAACTGACCAATAAGTGTTATCATCATCATCATCATCATCATCATCATCATCATCATCATCATTGTGATCGCTGTTCTACATTTGGCCATTTAGATCATCAGGTGTTGCCTAATAAATTCTTCCACTACCCTTCTGCCTGTCTTGACAACCTAAGTAAATGTCCAAAATGGGGACTTTGATTCAAACTCCTGGGTACCAGTGCATTCAAGATTTTGCCCTAAAGTGGTCTACTTGACAGTTTTCCAAATTGCTTAGCATTCTGAAGCAAGGGCATGGCTCAGGCTTAGAACACTGGTCTTATAAAAGCAAGGGCAGCTGGCTCTCTAGTGAAGTAACAGTACTATGACTTCCCGTTAAACGTTTCTATTGCCTTTCACAAGGGATTCACTTGCACTATGGTGTTGATTTCCCACTGCTGCTTTGAGAAAGTAAAGACGATGACAACCATTTCATTGGCACGAAACTGAGCTTTGGTAGGATAGACTGACTTGTGTGAAATCACGTGGGAGTCGGGAGCTGAGCTGAGACTCCATCTCAGGTCTGTGGACTCTGAAGGCCAGTGCTGGTTCCCCCACATTCCAGCTGCACCGAGTATTGGATCAGTCAGGGTCTTTGCAGCAAATGACAAATTGGCTGGTTTAAACAGAAAAGGAATTCCTTATGTATGTGGCTTGGAGAATGTGTAGGGGGACCAGCGAATCAGGCATGAGGCCATGTCAGAGAATGATGCCCCAGTGATAATGCTGGGTGTTCTATTACAGGTGCTCCTGGCACAGGAACCACAGCTGGCACCGCTGACTCCAGGCGCCTGTGCGATGCCTGCCTCCGCTGCAGCCTGGAGCTTAACATTCCTCTGCCACCCCGAGAACCAGTTCTGCATGGCGCCTCCTTCACATTACTCTCACATACAGGTCTCACTTGAGGGTCCTGGTAGCTGAGCCTCTGTCATGCATATGGGCCCTAGTTCCCAAGGAGCCTGGGAAAATGAGTTCCTGGCTTCTTCCTTGGGAAGGCAGGGCTCATAGGAATTTCCCAAACCTAGGAAGGATGTGTGAAAGGAGTTGGGCCAACTCTGCTTCTGGGTATATAGCCACAAGAAATGGAAGCAAGAAATCAAAGAGGTACTTGTACACCCACGCCCATAGCAGCATGAGTCACTAGAGCCAAAAGGTGGAAACAACTCAAATGTCTGCCTACAGATGAACAGAAAAACAAAACAGTCCCATACCCTTGAACTTGGTTGTATTAGCCAATACATCTTCCAAAAGTTAACACAATTAAGCTTGTTTGAGTTGAATTTCTACCAGTTAGAACTGGGGGTTCTAGCAATGTTCCCATGAACTTGATCAACTATAGGATGTCCACGGAGCCTGCCTATTTTCTGACATTTCTCCTGAGGGTCTCGCCGGGTACATTTTCTTTCCTTATGTACACGCATCACACCTCCACTGTGGCCATCTGCAGCTCCTTCTTTCTTATAGCGTTTGCTCCTTGAATCTACTGCCTTGCCTGAGGGTAACCAGCTAAATGGAGAACACAGACAATACCTCCCAGACCACTCAGTCCATGGACTTTTCACTAAAAGACAGTGTTTTGTCAGTTTGTCACCTTAGAGAGTGCCTAGTGAGAGTGGTTATGGGACTAGGACCTCTGCATTCAACCCCCATGTTTAGGACCTCATTGGAAAAGCCTCTCCTCATCTTCATCGTCTATTTCCTTATCCACTGGAAGAGAGCTACTAGGGTCAATTTAAATTAATCTCCCAGGTCCTTGACTTGTCTGCCTCCTAAGTCTTGTACTTTTAATTGTTTTGGAAGTTGGTGCCATTTCAAGGATTCTAATACTCCAGGCCATGAACACAGTTTCTTTTCTAAAGTGCCCCTGGCTTTGGACCCATGAACACAATGTGGGAATGATCCTTTAGAACAGGGGTTGGCAAACCTCAGCCCATGAGCCAAATCCAACCAGTCACCTCTTTTTGTAAAGCTATTGGCACACAGCCACACTCACTCATTTATGTATTGGCTATAGCTGCTTTTTGGATGCTACAGAGAACAGAGGGCCTCAGAGCCCCCAATATTTATTATTTGGCCCTTTACACAAAACGTTTACTGATCTCTGCTCTAGATTAGTGCTTTTCAATCATTTCCTCATCCTGGCACCCATTAAAAATGATACCCTGAGAGATGAAGGAATTAATATCTTGAGAAACTTTTGGGGCACACTAATTGGAAAGGTCTCCTTTAGACCACGTGGGATAGAGCATGACCTGGCATATACTTGGGCCACCACTGTCTGATATCCTGCTCTTCTTTTTCGAGACACCCTGGGCACCAATACATGATCTAAATCTAGATTCTGTAGGTCCTGTGTTTAGAGTCCCATATGGATTTCAACTTTGGCCCAGGCGAGGGTTACTTCTCCTATTCATGGATGGTGGTGGCACTCTCCTCCACACCCTGACTTCCTGTGTAACTGTCCCTGTGGCACCAGTCAACACACGGTTCTAAAAACAAGACTTACAAGGCCACCAAGATGTTCCCATCACCAGTGGGGCCCATCTGCGCCATTTGTCGTTCAAAACTAATTACCAGCACACCTGTACTTGAGTTGTAGTGTATCCCTGAATATGTGGTCAGAATCTGTTATCATTTTCACAGTCATGTGCCCTTTTCCCTCAAACAGGGTCACAGTGAAGGCATTGTCTGAACTGCCTTAGCAGGGCCCATGATACTAACTGGGGTCCATGACTCCACCTCAGTATTCCAACAATCCCAGCTGTGGAATCCTTAAACGTCCATCATATTTTGAGGTCCCATCAATATAGTCTTCCTTTTTTTCACTTATAGGCATGAATTCATTGCAGAAGACATGACAGAAAAGACTGTTCATTCTTTATATCTCCACAGAGGAGAAAGGTGGGTTAAAAACCATTCACACCAATAGAGCGAAGGAAACTGCAAGTTTATTTGAAAGTATAAAATTAAAAAAAAAAAAACTAACCAAAAAACAAAAAGCAACCACACATAACAACCTTTCCAGTTTACATCAGCTTTGAACATCACACACTATTAACCACCTAGCTTTGTTTTTTTAAAAATGTCAATTTCAAAGTAGAGGGAGTTGAGTCAGGTGATAAAACTATTGATCACAGTGAAATTATTTTAATGTTAAAATAAAAAGGATTAGCTGATCTCATATGAGAAAATGAGAACAGAGATGGTTTTCCAGGTTGGCATAGATTTAGGCAACGTATAAAAAATATTCTGATTGGAATGAGTTAAAAAATAATGCTTGCCACTTATTTGCTATTTTGAGTAGGGGGAAAAAAAACACACCCCAAACCCCTGCAGCTTTGGTGTCCTATTTACATATTTTTTAAAAGATTCATTAAAAAATCAAATCTATAATAAAAATGTCCCTGTTTTTTTTTTTTAAACAACATTAATAGGCTCTCCTTATCTACTAACACCATTTGTTTTCCTAAGATGCCTGGAAGCACAAAAGTACGTGAGATTAATTCACTGCACAATTAATTAAAATTAGAACCCTTTCTTCTAAACAACTTCCAGAGCAGCACACAGAAGCAGGGGCCCATCAAAGGGGGAAATAAAGCTATTCTGACTCACAGGAGATGAAATGTTCTGGCTGTCATTAAAACTTCTTTATTGGATTACTCAGAAAATAACTCAAGTGTTATTTTAAAAATGAAAGATGCAAGCCTAACTAGGTTCCTTTCCTTAAAAAAAAAAAATCACCAAGTGGTTAGCTTTCCAGTAATATTCTTTGGATTTGGTTTATATAAAAAAAAAGTCTACAGAACAGGGTCACTGAAGGCCACTTCATCCCCCATCTGCAGGCTCCACTTGAATTAGCATCAAAGAGCTACTGAAAGTTTCTTCAGCTGTGGAAAGAGCTATGAATGGGCGAGAGCTACCCAGAGTGGCTCCACCTGGTTCCAGTTTTGTCCCCTGACAGTTTTTTGCCGAATATCGCCTATGTTTCTACCCATTATTTCCCCAGTGGGTGGGGCCCTGTGGCTGGCGGGGCGCCGAGAAAGAGGAAAGCTAGCAGAAACACAGACTGTGACTGAGGGAGAAAGTCCCTCCTTCAGCATCCTTTGAAAACTCGATAAATAACCACTCAAAGTGCAACAAAGCACAAACGCCCCACACTCAGTCTGGGGTGACTTGGGACCAGGGCTTAGCGGGACAAAGGCGTGGCCTCCTTTCGCATCTGTCTTTGGACCTCACTAAAGAAAAAACAACAACAAAAAATGACAGCGGTCCTATACACATATAAATAGTCCCTTAACTAGAAGGGAAAAAACAAAACACACCGTTTCAAATGCATTTCTAAGAGATTTAAAAAACAACAACAAACAAGTCCGAATGGCAAATCTTGACTCCAAACTGTCTATTGTCCCTGTCTCTCAGGGGAAAAACTAGGGGATGTTGGGAGGGGCCTGACCCTAACTCTAACCCTAACCCTAACCCTAGCTCGGGGTGCTGGTATTTGGGCCATGGGGAGGGGAGTGTGTGCAGCGTAGGGATCTGGGAGCTCTGGTGGGAGGTATTGGATGTGGTTCTCACATGTGTTAGAAACCACAGTGTCAAGTCCAAATGCACAGGTGAAATGACTTCTGAGTGTTAAGGGAACTCAGAAGGCTAGTGTTGAAGCTGCATGAACGGGCCAGGCAGGCTGGGTGTGGTTCACAGGGCAAAGGGTCACATCATATATGAGGACAACTCCAGTTGGGTGCTCGTCCCTTGGCTACTGGCAGGTCACAGCTGGGAGGCCGACACTCTGGAAACCAGGGAATAGGCTGTAGACCAAAGCAGGCCCAGCGTCTTAGCAGCCTGCATTACAGGAGCTGAGAGCTTGGATAAACCCCTTGGCAGGGGCTTCCTGCCTATTCTGGGATGAGGCGGATCATATAGACCGCAGGTGAAAGCTCTCAAAACGAGGATTCTCGGGAAACATTTTAAAGTCAGAATCTATCCAGAATAGGTGGTTTCAGGGTCACTCACAAAACCAAAATGACAATGCCGAAGACTGAAGGGTATTACTCATGTGTAAAGTTTTCTTTGGCCACTGCCTCCGCTGAGCAATGGGTAAGAGAGTGGGGCAAGGTTTGGATGCTCGCCTGGCTTCTTTCCAGGGCGGCCATCCAATGATGGCCTCCTGGTAGGATTATCCAACCCAAACCCCAAATAGAGCCATAAGATGGCAGCCCACAGACAATGTGGTCCAGTGTCTTCCGCCCTTCTGAACATCCAACATGGCACAGAAACAATGCTTTCTCCAGGACTGCTTTAAATCCCACTTTAAATCCCCTACTCAGCAAGATTCCAACGGGAACAGAAGAATGATGTGAAGAGTCAAGCTGTGATCCCGGGGCCCGACGGAAGAGTCACCTCTCAGAAAAGATGCACAATATCCATCATGTCAACTGAGAGGCCAGAAAAATGCCAGGTCGCCCTCGAAAAAACATCCCTGAAATCTGGGGGAGGAGGGAAATGGAGAGACAGCTGACACCTCAAATCACTCTTTGAGGCAACCTGAGGAGCATCCGTGAGCGCAAGTTGTTAGGATGGTGACAAGTCAGAGCAGATGAACCCAGATGGACTTTGGAATAACTGGATTTTATACTTCTTCAGTGCCCTGGCTGGGCACGGAGTCCCTGGGCTCGGTGGTGCCCTCCTGAGGGCCAGGCTGCCCCGGGCTGTGGCCGGTGTCTTCCACACTCAGGAGGCTGCTGGCTGCCTGCGAGCTGGCACTGTCGGCACTCCCAGAGCGGGAGCGGTAAGGGGGCAGGTCGGCTTGGTTCAGGGACTCGGTGTCGGAAGAGTAGGGTGGCGGAGGAAGGTCGTACCATGCGGGTCTGCAGTGGACAAGGCAGAAGGAGGAGGGAGAGAGAAAGGAAGAGATGCATTAGGAGAAGCCAAGGCAAGGCAGGCGGCACCGATGGCTGCCCATTTCTGGGTGGATGCTGAGATGAGGCAGACCTGCCCTCTAAGTAGAGAGGCAAGCCAAGGACTAGGAAAACGGGTGGTATGCTGCAAGGCAAAAGCACCGGGAATAGGTCGGTGCGCTCCGGCTGGCTTGTGCCCAAACCACATCCTCTGGATGGAGCCAGCGTGCGGGTGCCAAGTACACCCTCGGCTTGTCCTCGCTGGTTTGGCAGAGCGGCTTTGTGCCATGCCCTGTGGCCAAGCAGCTGACCTGGAGTTTTGATGGATCCTCTGACGGGCCACAGAATTTGGGGTTCTTACTGAAAGCCAACTCTACCTGGCTGCATGGGCTTGGGTATGTGACAGGACATCCTCTCAACACCGTGATTTTCTTATCTGTAGAAGGGGATAATAATGACTGCTTGCTTACAATGAAATAACTGCACAGAGGAGACTTCACTTTCCAGCTCTCATTTACTGAAAGCTCACTGCGATCAGGCACCATGCCACGTACCTGACATTCACATTTAACAAGCATGAGCAGAGGGAGGCGTTACTTTTATGTCCATTGTCCTGGGGAGGAAACTGAGGCAGGGACATTAAATGACTCGCAGAGGATCACAAAGAACTAGTAAGCAGCAGTGCTGGGATTTGAACCCAGGCTTTCTGTCTCCAGCTTCAGTGATTTTAACCTTATTCTACATTGGACGGTCCAAATGAAGAGGTTATGAGTGGTGAGTGAGCTCCTACCCTCTTATGCTTACTTATTTGCAAAGAGATCCTTAAGAACCATCCCCTGAAGCTCTCCTTTATGAGGAGGCAAAATGAAGATTAAATAACACAAGAGCTGCCAGTGGAGGGAGTCCAAGGGGAGCCCAGTCACGCCGGGGATGCGGCTTGCAAAATGCCTCACCCCACGCATGGTGGGTCCTGGGTACAGAAGAAGAGGGATGCTAAACGGGGGCCCTGCAGGGAGCGCATGGGAATCGTAGAACCAATGGGGACTCAGACAGCTCGACTCCAGGGACTTCCAGAATGGTTCTTTGAGATACCTGGGAGGTCACGACAGGAGAGAGGAAGGCTGGATAGGCAGGATTCAGGTCCATTACCCGCTTCGACCACAGAACTCTGCTTTTTGAGTTTATAGGTTGGCTCCATTTGTAATGAGGATTCTACTGCTTACCGAAGCTTGTTCTGCCCTCTTTATTTTTACCGATGAAGCCAAGCGAAGTTAAGAACTTATTTGCGCACTCACCCTTTCACTTGCTCACTCACCCTTTCACTTGCTCACTCACCCTTTCACTTGCTCACTCACCCATTCATTCATTCCACAAATATTAACCAAACCTCTGATATGTAGGGGGCAGTGCTCTGCAGCAGCAGGAGAGGCCCTGGAGCACAAGTACATGTGTCAGTGTGGCATTACTAGGGGGGAGGAGGGCTCTGAATTGGCCGGGATCCTAACCAATCTCCTTATACAAATAACTAAAAATCCTAGAGCCTCAGCTTCCTCATCTGTAAAACTGAGGCAAAAATAGAACCTCCCTCAGTGGGTCGTCGAGAAGATTCAATAATACATGTGAATTGTTTTGCAAGGACTCAGTAAAGGTCAGACGCTGCTGCCGCTGCTGCCTACAGCAGCGGGCAAGACCCAGGAACCCAGCGTGCACAGACTCCACTCCCGCCATGGGACGAGCTCCGCACCCCAATCTCTTCCATCCAGCACGCACCTTTGGTCCAGCAGGGCCTCTGAGTAGGAGGGCGGGGAGCCCACTTCCGACGCATTCTGCTCGGCCTGGCTGGCCACGTACTGGATGCCGTTGTTGACGTTGTAGGTGACGTTGCAGTGGTGGGGGTGGTCCAGGACCACCAGGCGGGACAGCAGCACGGGGTGCTGCAGCCGGTGCACAGGCAGGGTCATGAGGTTGTTCCGCTTCCGCTGGTGGTGCAAGACCAGCGCCAGCAGGGCCACCACCAGCACGAAGATGACGGAGCTGCCGATGATGGCGTAGGTGATGCTGGGGTAGTACACGAGCTGGTTCTCCGAAGTCACGAACACCTGCCCGCTGCCGGGTTCTGAGAAACCCCGGAGGGGAGAGGAAAGGAGAGAGGTTACCAACTTGGCTCACCCCTTCGGCTTCCAAGTCAGTCCCAGGACATGCGCACAAATGTTTGGAGCGGCACGGTTCACAATAGCCAAAAAGTGGAAAGCACCCAAATGTCCGTCTACTGGTGAATGGATACACAAAATGTGGGCTAGGCGCCCACTGGAATATTACTTGGCCATAAAAAGCAACAAAGTACTGATACACGCTACACCATGGATGAATGTCAAAAACACTGTGCTAAGCAAAATAAGCCGGACGCAAAAGACCACATATTGTATAATTCCGTTTATATGAAGTGTCCAGGAAAGGCAAATTTACAGACAGAAAGTAGATTCATGGTTGCGGGGGGTGGGAACAGGGATTCACTGGTCATAGGATGGGCCTCAGGGATCTTGTTGGTGTGATGAGAATATTCTAAAACTGGATATGGTGATGGCTGCACAAATCAGTACGCTTGCTAAAACTCATTGAATTATACACTTAAGATGCGAAAATTATGGTAGGTGAACTATACCTAATAAGGTTGTTTAAAAAACATTAGCCCCAGGAAATACAACATCCAGGGAACAGGAGTGATAGTGCCTATGGCAGGAATTTATAACATACAGGAAGAACACTGGTCAGCATGTCTGGGGTTCCTTATGTCTGCAGAGTGCTTACTGTACGCCAGGTCCCACGCCAAGGTTTCCAGACAGGGAGCCTGCAGAGCACAGGGCCAATGGCACACAGCACATGAGCCAGACAAGGTTCAAATCCCAGCCCTTCAACTTGCTGGTTCTGTGCCCTTTGGAAAGTGGTCAACATCTTTGTGTAGCACTTTCCTCATCTGTAAAATGGGGACAGTAATAGTTTCACTTCACTGGGCTGTCGTGAGCATGAAATGAGCGAGTAATGACCATTAGCTGACACTCTGTGCTATGCAGGTGCAGGTTCAGACACACACATACTTGCTTTATTTATCACATCTGCTTGCCTCACAGCAACTCCATGAAGCAGGTGCTGGAACTGCCTTCTTTGTAAGAAGAGGAAAGTGAAGCTCAGAGAAGTTGGGTCCCCTGACCAAGGTCACAGTTAGGAGCCATGTGTGAGCTGAGCCCAGGTATGACTTCAGAGCCTTTCCCCTATGCCTCTGCCCCTGCAGCCCCCAATATTACCTGCAAGGCAATCTGCAGGCATTTCCTCAGAAGCCCTCGGGTGAAGGTCTGGTCCATGCCCCATTCCCACAGGTTACCAATGTCCTCTTCTCCACATGTACTCATGAGTCACACCTCAAATACTCAGGTCAGGGGCTCCCCAGTCAGCAGGACACAGGTGGCAGCCATGCAACGTCCAGGCCAGCACCGGAAACCCAAGTGGCACCTCCTCATAGAAAGCTGGAGACCCCTCATCTTTGCGTAAGAACCACAATCATGCACGGTTGTGGCTCAGCTGGAAGAACAATCTAGGTGAACAAATCTGGTGACTGTATCCTGTGCTCTTTCCACCTCTGAAGCAGTGAGGAGGTTTCAGTGGGTCCATAGGTGGCCAAAGTGTGCATGTGAAGTAGCAGCAGCAGCAGCCACCACTGGCTGCTCAGGCCCTGGAGCCAGGCTAAGCTTTACGAAATCCCTCATCACTAGATGTGTGCCTGTTCTGTTCATCACTGTAGCCCCACTGTATGCCTGGCACATAGTAGGCACTCAATAAATGCATACAGCTCAATGAAAAAAAGAATCTGTGTATTCACACACCCTGGTAATGTAGGTGCTATTACTGTTTTAGTATTTCTATTTGTCAGATGAGCACATTGACTCAGGGAGGTGAATTAACTTGTCTAGGGTCACACAGAAGTAAGTAGAGGAGTCAGCACTAGACCCCAGATAGTTCTAGCTTCAAAAAACCACATGCTGTGAAACATACTCTCTTCTTTCCCGATGTCTGTGTTTCCTGATTCCCCCAAATAATCCTAATCTGATGCACATGAGGACTTTCCCCTTCAAGCTCCAGGCTTTGTGTTAATTTTCTTTCCAGCTCCACGCCAACATGGACGACATTTCCTGTGGATCATCGTTTCAGTGACTAACTGGCCAGAAAGAAGCAGACAAAATCCCAGACAAAAGGCAGCAGCACGCTGCAGACAGGCAAGGGAGGGAGGCAGTGTTCAATTTTTCTGGAGACAATTAGCTGTCCCTTACTCAGGGGTGCTGCTGGAGTTCTGTCTGTCCTCAGATCAGATAATTAAAAGCTGGGTGGGGGCTCGGGTGTGTGTATATTTCAGAATTCAGACATTACATCAAATCCCCTCTTTATTTTGTTATCTCCAGCAGAGCTGAGGGGTTGAATCCTGGGGCCGTCACTTCTGGCTGTTGCTCCAGCAAGTTGCTGAACTTGTACGAGCCTCAGATGCCTCATCTTTAAAACGGGGGTGGTGCTGGGTTAATAACAGTAGCCATCTCCTTGGGTTACTGAGACGGTCAAATACAATATACTATATTCACAGATGCTGAGCCAAGTGCCTGGTAAGGGTGTGCACTCAGCTAGTGCTAGTTCTTTTTCCTTTTTATTGTGGTAAAATACAGAGGGTGCCCAAAAAAATGTATACATATTTTAAGCAAGGAAAAAAGCTATTAAAATTGTAATACTCAATATATACCAATAACAGAAGATGATGAATACAAGTCATGTTTTACTTCTGCAATTACAAGAGGTGCTCAAAGTAGTTCCCATCAGCGTCCAGACACTTCTGATTACAGCAAACTACTGCTTGAGCAATGCTGACCAAAGTGTCCACTTGTATACATTTTTTTTCGCACCCCCGGTATATATACATATAACATAAAATTTACCATTTTAACCATTTCAAATGTACAGTTCAGTGGCATTAAATACACCTTCACATTGTGATGCAACTATCACCACCATCCAGCTCCAGAAGTTTTCATCATCCCAAACTAGTTCATGCTAATTCTTAAGTGTTCACATTCTTTCCATTCTTTCCTCATCAGCTTCTCTGGACCAGAGACAGAGACTGGGAGAGTCCGCTTTTGGCGGGTAGAGTGGGGCATAGGGAAAGGCCTGAGTGAGTTCCTTTCCAGTAAGAGATATTTCTCAAAAGAGGAAAGTGGCTGGATTTTCACACAGAAAACAAATGGGTCCAGAGATGTTAAAACACTGATTTCTGCGTTACCACTTGTGGTTTTAAGAATACAAGAGGGAGCTCCTTAAAAACGGATGGAATGTGAAATGCTTCTGGATCTTAATCTCAGTTATGGCTCTGAAAGCAGGCTCTCTCCAGGTCTGCCCACTTTGGCAGGCGAGGAGCAGCAATCGCATTCGCCCGAGAAATTATGATGTTACATAACTCAGTGGTGCCGGGTCTCATTTTTGCTCTGTGTGTAAAATGTCATCTTGTATTAATTCATTAACTAGACTCGCTTTTCTTCAGAGCTTAATGAGCCCCCTGGCCAAATTACTAATATCAGGGTTGCCTGGGACCTGAGCTCCAAATGCATAATCCTTGGATAATGAAGTTTCCATTTCATCTGGCTGTCCCTCAAGATAATGCCCTCACGCTCTACCGTCACACAGCCTGAATTCCTGTTCTGTATCTGAGGCTAGCGCCCGCTGCCGCCTGTGGGGAGTGGGCTGTGTTTTGCACAGCTCCAGGGGCACTGTTCTCCTCAGAGTCATCACAGATTTGTTATCTGTGTAGTTATCACAACAGTTTTCTAGCAGATGACAGTCAAATGTCTTGAAGAAGGATGGCTTTTAAAAATTCACAGAGGCGCTGTCTGGATTGATGGGAGGGACTAAAGCAGGTGGCACTTGTGACTTGGTGTTCCCTTTGCTTCTCAGAAATTCCTTCCTCCAAATGCAAATTAAATTTCCTACAAGAAACCTGCCCCCCCCCCGCCATATTAAATTGGCAAAAGCAAAGTCAGATTGCACATTTTGCTGGCCAGGCCTGGGGAATACAGGCATAGTTATTCATGCATGGCTGGTGCGGAGGGTCAACTGGTATAACTCAGTTTGGCGACAGGATTAATAATACTTATCAAAATAAAAAATGTACATATCCTCTGACATAGACGTTCCACTCTGAGGGATCTAATAAATAGACTCACACAAAGGAGAAATAACCCCTTATACAAATATTTGTTGAAGTGTTGTTCATAATAGCAAACTTATCAGAAAAGCTCTTAAGGTCTATCAATTGCAAGCCTGGCTAATTAAATTACACTGTATCCATGCACCATCACACCTATTTAAAAAGTTAGGGCCGCTCTACATATACTGATGGAACAACCTGAAAGATATCATGATAATTAAAAAAAAAAAAAAGAAGAAAGCAAAGTTCAGTTGAGAATGCACAGACTATTTCTAGAAGGACACACAGAACTGGTATCACCGATACCTTCTAGGAAGAGGAACAGAGGCAAGGGACAGACTTACTTTTCATTGTTCACTCTTATATTTTGCGCTACGTATTTGTACTGTATTTTCTACTAAAAATATGCACGTTATCCTCTTCCTTTGGCATTGCCTAGGATGCCAGTGCATTTCTTTATTGTTTGTTTGTGATTTTTAAATTATTTTTCTTTCCTTCTTTCCCTGTGATGTGAGTGTTCCTTGGGGTTCATACCCCACTGCCACTCACTCACTCGAGACCCCGGAATGACTCCCCACTCCCTGAGGATGGCTCCAAAGCCGCCAGCCTGACTTCTGGAGTCCAGAATTCCTGTTCTGGAATGTTCACTGCCCCGTTCAAACTTACTCCTCATCCTTCCTCTGAAAAATCGACACCTGTGTGCCTTTAAAAAAACAATTCTTTTTTAAGTTTCAAGTCAGGTTTATTGAGTTACAGTTTGCACACAATAAAACTTATCCCTTTAAGAGGTATAATTGGATGAGTTTTAACACAATGAAATGGTTGCATAACCACCGCCACAAACAAGATACAAAACCTTCCCATCCCCTCCCCACAAGCTC